GAGGGGGGGCGGGAGCTGAGCCCGACCCCGAAGCCGAGCCAGGCCCCGAGGAGCGCGTCGCCGCCCGCCGCCGCCGCATCGCCGAGCGCCTCGGGAACAAGGCCCGGTGAGAGCCGGGGCCTCACCGCCCTGCCCCCGCTTCTCCCGAAATCCCTAGAGCGGGGTGCGGGCCTCTGCCTGCCCCAAACCCGCACCGAGCCTCGCGTCTTCTGCCCAAACCCCGTGTCTGGGCACAGCTGATCTCCTGCCCAGCCTAGCACTGCGTTGATGCTCCCAACCCAAACCGGTGCCACTTCCAGACCCCTTACCCCAAAGTAGCCCAGAGTGGCACTGGGGTTGATGGCTCCGCCCTCTTCGGGAGCCAGTGCCAGTTCCTTGAACCACAAGAAGGTTCTTGTGGATCCTATTAACAACCCCTGGGGCCAAACCCTCCCTAGATCACTAAGATCCACTCCCAGCTCAAGAACAGGAAGCTGTTTTCCCTTGGGAATGCTATTTCAACCTTTCCTGCCTCCTTTCTGTGCCTGTGGGGACCTCCTGGCCCCGACAAAACCTGCCCAAGAGAAGAGAGGGCAAAGTGTGCTGTGCTGAGCCATGGTATCCCAGATCCAAGGCCATTCCTGAGTATCAGAAAGACAATGTGGTGTAAAATGTTCTGTCTTCTTGCCCTTTTCTGCCCAGGGAGGAAGTTGAAGAAGATGTGGAGCCAAAGGTGGATGAGAAAGAGGAGGAAGAGCAGAGGAAGAGCCATAAGCAGGTTGAGGAGAGCAGGCAGGTGCGGCAGTAGGACAGGAAGGTCCTCTTCTCTCCCTGACCTCTAGACATTTGGCTTTACTCTCCTAAGCTGTGCTTAGTGTCACACAGCAGCTTTCATGTGAGAAGAAGCAGGGACAGGAACTCTTCAGGATTTGGGGGTGTGTGTGTGTGATTCTTACAGAATTGTTTTGGTTGGAAAAGATCTTTAAGATCCTCTAGTCCAACTGTTCACCCAGCACTGCCAAGGCCACCACTAACCCATGTCCCTCAGCACCACATCTACACGGCTTTGAAATCCCTCCAGGGATGGGGACTCCACCACTGCCCTGGGCAGCCTGGGCCAGGCCCTGACAACCCTTTCCAGGAAGAAAATGAATATCCAATCTAAAGCTCCCTTAGCACAGCTTGGGGCTGTTTCCTCTTGTCCCACCACTTGCTCCTTGGGAGAAGAGACCAACACCCACCTTGCTACAACCTCAAGACAAAGGACGTCTTATTGTCCTTTGCAGCTACCTACCAATCTCATGGGCTGGATCCCAGGGATATGACTTCCCTGTGACAAACAGCCCATGGATTGGAAGGATCTGGGACTGACACTATCCATCCAAACCCCATCTCAGACCCAATCTCAGACCCCTAACCCCATCTGCACATGCAACGGAAGCAAAACAAGAAGGTGCTCTGAGCACATTCCTCTTGGTGGTGGTGGTGGCCTGTAGGGCTTTCCAGGAGAGGGAGGACCCATTGGTGCCTTGAGGTTCTTGCAGTGCTCATCCCTCCAGTATCCCTCCCTCCAGAGCTCAGGCCTCCAGGTGTGAGATGTGTACCACCTGCTTCACAGAGGCTGGCCAAGCTGCTCTTTGAAGGCACGCAGATGGTGACCGACATCCAGGTGTCTGCTGACTTGAGGGAAATACAGAGGAGGACAGATGAGGCAGAGCTGAAGCGGCAGAGGTAAGAACTTGCATGATGGGTTATAGTCATAGACTGGTTTGGGTTGGAAGGGACCTTAAACAGCATCTAGTTCCAGCCCCCTGCCAGGGTCAGGGACACCTCCCACTACAGCAGATTGCTCCAAGCCCCATCCAGCTGGATCTTGAGCACTTCCAGGGAGGGGTCTGCGCTGCTGGAAAGGAGCAGTGCTGGTGTTGGTGCAGCTTTTGGAGGACATCCTAACCTTGGTTATTCAGGGACACTTAGCAGTTAGGGCAATGCTGGATTAGTCTTCAGAAGGGAAACCCAGTGCTACAAAGAGCCTACAGGTCCCACCTGCTGCAGTTGGGTCTTTACAGAGCTCTGGAGGTCAAGCCTGGTGGCTTCCCCAGGGGGCACTGCAGTCTGGATGTCTGGTTACCCATCTCCTCCAGACCCATCACATGTTCTGCTCCAGAAACGTGGCTGGTCCTCAGCTTTTTACTAGGGGCCTCTTGCTGTCTTCTTGCTCCAGAAGCACAGGCACAACTGCCCTCACGTCTGGCTTGCCCAGCAGCTCTCCAGCACCTGGAGTTGACACCATGGTGACGATGGCAGCCTGTGCCAAGAGGTGGCTCAGGAAATGGCCTGTGTAACCTCCTGGGCAAACCTATCCTGCTTCACCAGAGGAACTGGTCTGTCTCCTAGGAAGCCCTGTCCCCAGGACCAGATCAGCGAGGAAACACCAAGTCCTCTCTCCTACTGCCTTTGGAGGGCACTGTAGGAACATTTTATGGGAGGTTGGCTGCAGCAAGACAAGTGCCCTTTGCTCAGATGGTTTCCCAGTGGGAATCTTGTTAAGGAAACAAGTGCTGTGTCCTGAAACTGCCCATAGAGCAGGTCTAGGGGTGGCAAATGTGGTGGGCACTGTTTGGCCTGACCCAAGAGCCATCCCTAGAGCACGTTGGATGGTGCTTCTGTTTGGAAGAGGAGCTTTGTCCTATTGACATGAGCTGTTCAGTGCCATTTGGCTTTAGCAGCAGGATGGTCTCTGGACAGTTGGACCCCCAAGTCTAGACATGGCTGGGAGGCTTGTCCAGGGACAGAGGGACTAGTTGCTCTTTGCAAAGGTAACTGCTGCTTGAGCTACCTCTTCAGCCATTTCTCCTCCAGGTAAGTGGTTCTTGGAGCACTGGGCAAGGGCAGAGCTGGAGGAAGGCCTGTGAAAAAAAGGGCTTGTAAGACACTGGCTCTGCCATGGTGTGGTGCTCTAACGAGCTCCACTGATCTCCTGAGGCCCTTTTGAATTCAAGTTGGGTTCTGCAGGACACTGCTCCCATGGTGTGGACGACTGGGTCATGTCTGAAGCAGCTGAAGCATTTGCTGCCCTGCCCCAGATCCCTGTGTCCTTCTTATTGCCTGCAGGGTAGAGAGGCTGGAGAACGAAGCCAAATCTAGCACAAGCAAGTTTGAGGAGATCACGTCCAAATGGGCCTCGGCCGAGGAGATCAAGATCCCGCAGGAGCTGTGGCAGCCGCTGAACCAACAGCAGCAGCACAGTGCCCTGCTTCTGGAGAGGAAGAACAAGCTCATTGGTGACCTGCAGCAGGTAGGGACAACAGGGAAGGACAGAATCATTGAATCATTTGGGTTGGAAAAGATCTTTAATGCCATCAAGTCCAACTGTTCCCCCAGCACTGCCAAGCCCACCACTAAACCATGTCCCTCAGCACCACATCTACATGGCTTTGAAACCCCTCCAGGGATGGGGACTCTACCACTGCCCTGGGCAGCCTGGGCCAGGGCCTGACAACCCTTGCCAGGAAGAAATTGTTCCCAATATCCAATCTAAAGCTTCTCTGGCACAACTTGAGGCTGTTTCCTCTTGTCCCATTGCTTGTTCCTTGGGAGAAGAGACTGACTGCCCCTCCCCTCACTCCAACCTCCTTTCAGGCAGTTGCAGAGAGCAAGAAGGTCTCCCCTCAGCCTCCTTTTCTCCAGGCTGAACACCCCCAGTTCCCTCAGCTGCTCCTCATCACACTTGTGCTCCAGACCCTTCCCCAGCTCCACTGCCCTTCTCTGGACACACTCCAGCCCCTCAATGTCCTTCTTGTCATGAGGGACCCAAAACTGACCCCAGGATTCAAGGTGCAGCCTCACCAGTGCTGAGCACAGGAGGACAATCCCTTACCCTAGTCCTGCTGGCCACACCAGTGCTGATACAAGCCAGGATGCTGGTGGCCTTCTTGGCCACCTGGGCCCATGATGGCTTTTATTCAGCCACTGTCAACCAACACCCCCAGGTCCTTTTCCACTGAATACTTTCCAGCTGCTCTTCCCCAAGCCTGGAGCACTGCCAGGGTTTGGTGTGACCCAAGTGCAGTACCCAGCCTTCAGGCTTGGTGAACCTCATATGATTGGCACCAGCCCATCAGTCCAGCCTGTCCAGATCTTTCTGCAGAGCCTCAACCCGTGGATCCAGCCTGTCAGATCCCTCCATAGATCCATCCTACCCTCAGGCAGATCAACACTCCCACCCAACTTGCTGTCATCTGCAAACTGACTGAAGGTAGGCAGTATGGGATTCAAGCTCTGGAGGATGCTCTTCTAAAGCAACAGCCATCCCTCTCTGGTTCTTCAATTCCCCAGTACAATGCAGAAATTCAAGTAGCATCATTTTGTCCTCGTCAAAACTGGCACTGATGATCTGTCTCTCCTCCCATCTTCCCTCCCAGCTACCTCTTCATTATCTGGCTCTTTTTTCTCATCACCTCTTCTCTTTGGGAAAAGGCAGCACCTGGGTCTTACCCTCTTCCTGGTTGAATACTTCTCTTTGATTTCAGCATCTCTTCTCCTCCAGGAGCTGAAAAACAAAGAAGAGCAGTACGTGCAGACCATTAAGAAACAGTCAGATGATATCCACCTGCTTTTGGAGAGGATGGAGGAACAGAGCAGGTTCATGCTGAAAAATTTCCGTCAGCACCTCCTACAGATTGAGGTAACCTATTCATATGGTGGAGGAAAGTCCAATCAGAAAACCTGCAGCTGTTTGCTTCTCCAGATCTATGGCCTAAAGGCCACAGGCTCATTGCCTAGGCTGGGCTGACTACTGTCCAGAGCAACAGGACTGGTATCTTGGTGAATGAGACTGAAATCTGGCCAAGCAAAAGCACTGAATGGTGCTGAGTGGCTGGTTGAATGACTGTGGTTGAGTCCTGAGCAACGTGGTGGCATATTAAACCGTTGCTGCTTGATGGCTGATTGTCCATCTCTCTAAAAACCAGAAAAGAACATTGAGGTGACCTTATTGTGTGCAGTCAGATGGCTCTCTGACCAACCTCTACTGCTAATCATAGGATTACTAAATCATTCAGGTTGTAAAAGACCTTTAAGATCACCAAGTTCAATCATTAACCCAGCACTGCCAAGGCCACCACTAAACCATGTCCCTCAGCACCACATTTACACTGCTTTGAGATCCCTCCAGGGATGGAGACTCAGCCACTGCCCTGGGCATGTGAAGCAGTCAAGCAGTGATTTCCAGTGGGCTTCTCACCACCCAGAGCATCCTTCCCAGCTGGGTGATGGACAGCAGAAGTGTCTGTGGAGTTGCAGTGGGAGGTCTCTGCCAGTGATGTTCTGGCATGGAGAGGAGAGATCAGCCCAGTGTGTCTTCATGGGATGGTGGGACCAGCCCACAGCTGATCCTCTCCAGGAGGCTGCTGGCCTGCTTCAAGGTTGGCAATAAGTAGTGCCAACATGATAGTGAAAGGCTCTGTTTACTTCACAGGAAGCTTTTGAGGTTGAACGGCGAGAGCTGCTGGACAACAACAAGAAGAAGTGGGAGGAAAGCATCCGGGCCCACAAGGCAAAGGAGGTAAGGTCCATGTGACGTTTAGAATCAAAGAATCAGTTTGGTTGGAAAAGACCTTTAAGCTTATCAAGTCCAACCCAGCACTGCCAAGGCCACCACTAAACCACAGCACCACATCTACACGGCTTTGAAATCCCTCCAGGGATGGGGACTCCACCACTGCCCTGGGCAGCCTGGGCCAGGGCCTGACAGCCCTTTGGGGAAGAAATTGTTCCCAATATCCAATCTAAACCTCTGCTGGCTCAACTTGAGGACATTTCTTCTCGTCCCATTGCTTGTTCCTTAGGAGAAGAGACTGACCCCCCTCCTTTCAGGCGGTTGCAGAGAGCGAGAATGTCTCCCCTCAGCCTCCTTTCTCCAGGCTGAACACCCCCAGTTCCCTCAGCTGCTCCTCATCAGACTTGTGCTCCAGACCCTTCCCCAGCTCCACTGCCCATCTCTAGATAAGACCGAGCCCTTCAATGTCCTTTTGCTCCTGAGGGCCCAAAGGATGCCAAGACTGTCCAGCACTGGGCTGCCTTGGAAGACACATGCGTATGAAGGCAGATAATTGTTTAGGAGTAGGAGGGTTGGCAAAGGGGCAGTTTTCCTACCTGCTCTGCCAGGGAAATATCCATGTGTGACTTTGTTTTGGGCAGCCACAGGAGCTGTGGTTGCAGGAGGAAACTGTCACTACTGATGGATGATGTTCTGCATTTGCCCGTAGATGGAATACCTACAGAACCGTATGAGGAAAGTGGAAGAATATGAGAAACAGCTGGAGCAGCTGTGGGTGCAGGATGAGGAGGAGTACAACAACATGAAGCTCCTGCTGGAGAACGATGTGCAGGTACAGAAAATGCTGGTGTGTGCCATGAGGGGAGGTAGTGAAGCAGATCTTGGAGCCTTCTCTTCTCCAGGCTGAACAACCCCAACTCTCTCAGCCTGTTTTCAAATCAGAGGTGCTCCAGCCCTTGGAACATCTCTGTTACATCATCTCCATTGCAGATGTCTCTTCCATTGCAGCTGGGGAGGACTCACTGCCTCTCTCCTGTCCATCAGGCCATGCAAAGGTTGCTGCCATCACAAATGCTTCAGTTTTTTGCTTTGTTCTGGTTTTCTTACAACCTGCAGTTCATGTTGTCACTCTTCCTGCATCCCCTTCCTCCAGGTTGCCAAGTAACTTCTGAGTCTTCTGGTTAGTTTCAAGACATGCAGTTCCTAAAACTGACATGAAAAACAGCAGCTCAGCTGGGGAGAGAGACCCAAATTAGTGCCCCATTGAGTGAAACTGGGCTACAACTTCAGCCCTTTCTCCAGACGTGGCCCCATAACACGTACTTATGGACAACCAGCATGTCCATCACTCATCCATGAGTGATGCCCAGGGTTTAGCTAGGGAAACGGACCTGGGGTGATGGGTTTTGGACATCAGGATCAGTAGGATCCAAGCTTCATTCTGCTCATGACAAGGCCTGTTTTTGTTTTTCTTTGGCACACCAGAACCTGGAGAAGCAGCTGCAGCATATGAAAGCTGTCTATCAGCTGAACCAGGAGAAGCTGGAGTTCAACCTTCAGGTACTTAAGAAGCGAGAGGAGGAGAACACAATCATCAGATCCCAGCAGAAGAGAAAGATCAACAGGTAAAAAATCCATCCCTGGAAGATGGGCTCTGCCTTTCCTCCCATCACCTCTCATGTACTATGTTTTATGGAGCCCATCTCACAGTCCAGGCCAACGAGCTCTGTCCCTGCCCATCCCTGGGCAGGGGTTAGCCCAGGGCACAGCTGTTCCCAGAGCATTTTGGATAGGCTGGTTATGGCCAACCTGTGCTAATGGCAGCAGGGTCCAGCCAGGCCTTGGCCCTGGGTGGTCACTAGTGGATAAGCAACCTCAAATCCCAAAACCTTCACAGTGGTTGGTTGTACCTGACGATGCCTCTCTGGGGATGTTCAACTTTGCTGTCTCTCCCCAGGCTCTACAGCCTTCTCAGTGACCTGAAGACCAAACTGGCCAAACAAGAGAAGCAGTTCAGAGAGGAGAACCAGAGCCTGGCAGCTGTCTGCAAGCGCATCAGGGAGCAGTGCAAGGACGTGCAGAGGAAGACAAGGTGGGCTGTGTGCAGGCATCTCCCCAGGATGAGGCCCCAGGCCATCAAAGTGAGGTGTTGCCTTGTAATTTTGGGGCATGGAGCCTCCTGCCATGAGGCCATCTCCCCTACTCCACAGGCACTTTTCTGTCAGTGACGAGAAGAAGTTTGTGCAGGTCTGGCTGATGAATGAGGAGGAAGCCAAAGGGCTGATGCGCAAAGTCCTCGATGCCGATCGTGTCATTCACACCCAGCAACTGGGGCTGCCTTGGGAAGAGCCCCAGGCCTGGTTCCTGAACAACGTTGGTCCCCTTGGGTATCCCAAAGCAAAGAGTATGGAAACGGAGGTGGCTGCGGAGATCCTGACAGGTGAGGATGCATGGTGTTCTTGTCACCCTTGTGGCACTAGGAGACCTCAACTTCCTCCATGACAGGCCCTAAGAATCATGGAATCCCAGACTGGTTTGACTTGCAAGGGACCTTAAAGATAATGTATTCCCAACCCCCTGCCATGGGGAGGGACACATCCCACTAGACCAGGTTTCTCTAAGCCCCATCCAACCTGACCTTCCAACACTGCCAGGGATGGGGCAGCCACAGTTGCTCTGGGCAACCTGGGCCAGCGTCTCACCACCCTCACAGTGAAGAATTTCTCCCTTATGTCTAGGCTAAATTTACCATCTTACAGTTTCAAGTCATTACCCCGCTTTGTATCTCTCCACACCCTTGTCAAAAGTCCCTCCTCAGCTTCCCTGTAGCTCCTTCAGATACTGGAAAGTGCTCTAAGGTCTTTGTGCATGGTGAGCTTCTCATCACCCAACACCCCTAAGTCCTTCTCCTCAGGGCTGCCCTCAGTCCTTTCTCTGCCCATCCTGGATTTGTGCTTGGGGTTGCCCTGACCCAGGTGCAGAACCTTGCACTTGACCTTGTTGAACTTAACAAGATTGGGTTGGGCCCACCTCTCCATCCTGTCCAGGTCCCTCTGGATGCCCTTTCCTCCATCATGTTGACCACACCATACAGTTTGGTGTTGATACCAAACTTGCTGAGGATGTGCTCAGTCCCACTGTCCAGGTCTCCAACAAAGATGTTTATCTCCCACAAAGATGTCAAACAGCACCAGGCCCAAACTCACCCTTGAAGAGCACCACTCATCACTGGTCTCTATTTGGACATCAAGACATTAACCACAACTCTCTGAGTGCAACCATCTAGCCAATTCCTCATCCACCAAGTGCTCCATCCATTGTCAGTCTTTTCAATGTAGAGACTGGGATGTTTTGCAGGACAGTGTCAAATGCTTTCCACGAGCCCAGGTAGATTAATCCATTGCTTTTCCCTTGTCCACCAGTGCTGTAACCCCATCTTAGACAGCCACCACATTTCTCAGTATGGGGATCTTCTCATTGCTCTTTGTGCAGTGCTCCCAGTTTCAGACCAGCTGGCCAAACTTGTGTCCTGGGATTGTTTGGGGTCCTTTCCAGGTCACAAGGAACAGTCAAAGCACAAAGGCTTCTGCTTACCTTTCTTGTTGCAGAGAGCTGCTCTGGAGGACAGCAGGAGAGAGGGAGAGAGGAGGAGAAGGAAGCAGTGGGCATTGGAGAAGGAGGAAGAGAAAACGCAGTGAAGGCTGAGGATAGATCCACACCTCTGGGAAGTGTCTGCAAGAAGACTGCCAGGAGGATCCTGGACCTCGTGAAAGCTGAGTCGGTGTGTGACGATGCAGCACGTTTGTGACCAGGGAGCAGGTGTGCTGTCCCCTGGGTGCTCCAGGTTCTAGTGGCTCTCTTCTGAGCTCCACACCTTGGGGTGAAGCCTTCTGCATGGCACTGCCATGCTATGCCTGTTGTCAGAGAGCTGCCCCAGAGGACAGGAGAGGATCTCCAGGTCTTTCAGCTGTGTGTGACATGTAGGTGATGCTCATAAAAGGTATGGGCAGGCAGGGTCCTGTTGCCCACAGCTTGCCAGGCCCAAAAAAGCTCAAGGAAACCTGCTGCATTTGGTGCTTCAGGCTGTTCCCTGTCTCTGGGGACAACCAGCAAGTGCTTCAGACCATGAGGTCCTTTTGGCATCCCTGTGCTGGTGACTCTGTTTTCCCTGTCTGCTAGGTGGCTGTGCCAGAGTATTCTGGAAAACACCCTTACTTTTGCTCCCCCTCCTGTGATGTCTCTTGAGAGACACTGACCTGTTTCCTTTGCTCCCCAGACCCTTGAGATCGATGATGAGGATGTCCAGAACGAGTTGGTGGATTTTTTCCTGAAGTATAAAGCCCAGGAGCTGGCTGCCAGCCAGGTGGGACCTCCAAGGATAGCAGTGGGGAGAGCTCAGCAGGGATCCAGGGAAAGGGGAGTATTCTCTGGAATACACAGGAAAGGCAGAGAGGGGCGACCAGCATGTTGACCATTAAATGTTCCTGTGTGACTGGACAAGGGAGGTGAATGTGTCAGGACTAAGGGGTCAGAATATTCTTCTGCAATGGTTTATTGGAGCCTCTTGCACATGAATTTTTGCCTCAGCTCCCTAAATTTGCCAAGGGACAAGGCTGCAGGCAGCTGGGAGCTCCCAGAGGGAAGGTGGCTCTTGAGGAGGAGAAGGTGGTGAAGGCACCATACCCAGCTTGCTGGTCTTCTCTTCAGAGCCAGGGCAGCCCAGGTGGAGAAGATGTCATGCATCTGGCTGAAGACAGAGAACATGGATCTGGTGGCCTGAGGAAAGAGCTTGAATCCCCTCAGAGCTTGCTGAGCTCTGTTCTGTCTGTGGATATCGAGCCTGATGATGTCCTGAAGATCCTGAAAGCCTTTATGAAGGATTTTAGCAAGCTGAGGTAGGACTAAGGGGCAGAGTGGGGCGTTGTAACTGGGAGGGGACCAGACTGGGGGCACAGAGGGGGTAAACAGGCAGTGCTAGGGGTGCAGGCAGTGCCTGAGTGAGGGACAGCTGGGGACAACCACAGAGCCATCAATCCACAGACTGGTTTAAGGGATCTTAAAGATAATCTAGTTCCAACCCCCTGCCTTGGGCAGGGATACCTCCCACTACACCAGGCTGCTCCAAGCCCCATCCAACTGGCCTTCAGCACTGCCAGGCATGGGGCAGCCACAGCTGCTCTTGGGCAACCTGGGCCAGTGTCTCACCACCCTCACAGCAAAGAATTTCTTTCTAAAATCTCATCTCAGTCTCCCCCCTTGCAGCTTGAAACTGTTTCTCCCCCATCCCATCACTCCCCTTGTCAAAAATCCCTCCCCAGCTTTCCTGTAGCCCCTTCAGGCACCAGAAGGTGCTCTAAGGTCTCTCCCTGGAGCCTTCTCTTCTCCAGGCTGAACAACCCCAACTCTCTCAGCCTGTCTCCAGAGCAGAGCTGCTCCAGCCCTCACATCATCTCTGTGGCCTCCTCTGGACTCACTCCAACAGCTCCATGTGCTTCTTGTGTTGGGGACCCCAGAGGTGGACAGAGTGCTTCAGCTGGGGTCTGTGTCCAGGCAGGAGTTGACCAGCAGCCCAGAGAGGAAAACAAAGCCAGCTGTGGGGTCTTGCTCATTCGTGTGATGATGGTGACATTGCTCAGTGCGGCTGAGGGGTACAGGGCTGTTCCTCACCTGTGAAGAGCTGAGCCTGAAGCCTTTGTTCTCTGTTCCCCAGGACCCCGAAGGTGAAGGATGAATTGGTGAAGGAGGTGAAACCGGTACGGGACAGCTCGAAGGATGAGGAGTACTGGGAAGCCCTGGCACACATTCTCCCTGAGAGCACATTGAAGCTGTGGGACGCGCTGACGCTCGCGCTGGAGGAATATTAGTGAGTGCTTTGCTGGGGACAGGGCAGGCCTGTGGCATGGCTGGGGGAACCACAGCAGGGCTGTGGCCACCACTGGCCACCTCCTCTGCTCTCTCTGCCCAGCGAGGTCCTGATGCACCGGGCCAACTTGCTGGCCGAAGTGGCCACCCTGCGGCAGCAGAACGTGGAGCTGTGCCTGCTCCTGAAGGAGTACCTCACCTCTGGGTGAGTGGGGCATCTGCCTCCCCTGGGGACATTCCACCATCTCTGCACCACACTGAGGTACCAGACATGGAAGGTCACTGCCTGGAGCTGTCAGGCTCAGGGTGTTTCTTCTTGCCCTGTAGGTGAAAAAAACCTGCTCTGTCCTCCCACACAGTGGATGGAGCTGACCCTCTCCTGCCCCCGGCCCAGGCTGTGTCTGGAGCCAGAGCTTCATGGTAGTGATTAATAAAACCAGGGATTAATAAACCGTGTCCAAACCTGGAACTGAGTATGTGTGGCCTGCTAGGAGCACCCCTCTTGCCTCTGAAGATGCCCCAACACCTTTCCTACCCCCAAAATCCTCCCAAACAAGTCACCCCCAATAATTTTTCCCTCCTCACTCCCAAAGCTGCTATGTAGGGACCTAAATTCTGCATTTCCAGGGTGGTATCAGCCCCGAGAGGTGCTGCCAGCAGAGTTATCTCCAGGAGGGCCCTGTTACATCTGTGACTCCCTTCCACCCGCCTGGTTCACACCAGTTACATCTCGTTCCCAAAAACCTACAGCTTTATCTTTAGCCTTGACTCCCCTGCCTGATGCTAACATTGCACAAGCAGTTTCTCATACCAGAGCACAACAACAGCATTTTGTTTTTGCTCACTGGGCATCTGTGTCCTTGGATAGTTTTTGCTTTTCTCCTGGTTCCCATCAGGGGATCCAGCCAGCTTCAAGGGACAGTGATCCCATGGGGCTTGCTTGCTGTAGCCCTGGTTGATACAGAAGGATCCACAGGGCAGAAATGCAAACAAGAATCAGGGAATCCCAGACTGGTTTAGGTGGGAAGGGACCTTAAAGACCATCTAGTTCCAACCCCCTGCCCCTGTGCTGGGACCCCAGCACTGGACCCAGCACTGCAGGGGGTCTCACCAGAGCAGAGCAGAGGGGGACAATCCCCTCCCTGGCCCTGCTGGTCCCACTGCTGGGGATGCAGCCCAGGACACAGTTGGTTTCTGGGCTGCCAGCACACGGTGCTGGCTCATGGTGAGCTTCTCATCACCCATCACCCTCAAGTCCTTCTCCTCAGGGCTGCCTTCAACCCATCCTCCACCCAGCCTGGATTTGTGCTTGGGAATGCCCTGACCCACGTGCAGGACCTTGTACTTGGCCTTGTTGAACTTGATGGAGTTGGCATGGGCCCACCTCTCCAGCCTGTCCAGGTCTCTCTGGGTGGCCTCCCTTCCCTTCAGGGTGTCACCCACGGGACTTTGGTTGGAAAAGACCTTTAAGATCATCAAGTACAACCATAAATGCAACACTGTCCCAACCACTACTAAACCACGTCCCTCTGCACCACCCTGAGCCTAAGAAGGTGTGGAGGTGAGAGGCCAGGGTTTGGGCAGGGAGGGCAGTGCTGGGCACGCTGCCTGGGACAAGGAAGCAGCAGACACCTCCTGGCACATCTCGGCTGGCTCTGACAGACCCCCGGGACCACCGGAGCGCCAGCTCCCAGAGTCATGGGGTGACCTCAAGAAGCTGG